ACTTCCCCAGCCTAGATGAGAGCCGATTACTGATCTGGATGGACATGACTCACTGCCTTTTCTAATGAGCAACTTTCCTCTGTTGATGTACCTTGGTGGGGCCTTTCATATACCTAAAAAAGGAGAAGGGTGGCACTGGGGAGAGGGCAGGGTAGTCTCAATTGCTGCCACCTGCACCCAGCCCCAGTGAGCTGTTTCTCACCATCCCTTGGGACTCGGGCCAGCTGTGAAGTTGCTGCTTTTCAGCAGGGAAAAGGCGTAGCTAATCTTCCGCATGCTAATCCGGGTGAAATGCTGTCCGGGCCCACAGGTAGGCTGTCTAAACCCTCGACGAGTAATTGGAGCTAATTAGGCTGGAAGATTTTTTTTGTTAATATCTGTCCAGGCGATGCCTGGGGGGCCCCACGGTAATAAGCACTGTGCAAACCCAGAACCACCTTACCCCAGGGAGGTTTGCCAGCAGGAGGTTGTCCAGGCCGCAGCAGGGTGAGTTAGGTTTTCCTGTTCTCTTGCGTAGACGTGGTCTCATCGGACAGCTGCCCCGCTCATGTGGCATTGCTTGTGTTTTGCAGTGACTAAGCGGAGGAAGCTCTCGCTGTCCTAGCACCACCAGGCCAGACAATCCTTCCCTTGGCTGAAGATCCCGTTGGATCCCTTCCCATAATGGAAGCGTGAGTGCCAAGATCCTCCATGACCTCCAGAAGCCACAACTCCTTACCGAGAACTCTGATGGCTCCACGAATGCTTTCCGAAGGTGCCCTCGGGGGCATCGCCCAAATCACCCCCTCGCTGTACCTGAGCCGGGGCAGCGTCGCCTCCAACCGGCACCTGCTCCTCTCCCGGGGAATCACCTGCATAATCAATGCGACCATCGAGATTCCCAATTTTAACTGGCCCCAGTTTGAATACGTGAAAGTGCCTTTGGCTGACATGCCCAACGCCCCCATCTCCCTGTACTTCGACAGCGTCGCCGACAAGATAAACAGCGTGGCGCGGAAGCACGGGGCCACCTTAGTCCATTGTGCCGCCGGTGTGAGCAGGTCGGCCACCCTCTGCATCGCCTACCTGATGAAGTACCACAAGGTGTCCCTCTTCGAGGCATACAACTGGGTCAAATCGAGACGCCCCGTTATACGCCCCAACGTGGGCTTCTGGAGGCAACTGATAGACTACGAGAGGAAGCTCTTTGGGAAGACGACGGTTAAAATGGTACAGACACCATATGGCGTCATCCCAGACGTTTATGAGAGAGAGAGGAGACCCCTGATGCCTTACTGGGGAATTTAATGTGACTGCAGACAGGAAGCACAACAGAAGGGACGCACTGTGCTGAGTTGACCAGACTGGAGACATTCCCTTCTCCTTCTACAGCCAACTTTGGTTCTTTACCATACAGCAGAACCTCAACTAATTCTCACCTCACTAACCTGCAAGGCCAACGATTCCCTTCAAAGCATTTCTCTCTACAGGGATTCCCCCATCCGCATTTCTCTGATTTAGCAGAATGAGGTCTCCTTATAAGTTTATACCTTTCATAAAGCCTCCCTCCCTTTTTTAGTCAGTTTATTAGTATCCTATGAGGAAAGGCCTAAAAGGCATTTGGCAGAGTTAATGAACAAAGTGCGCTTTGTGATGCGGTAGCCTGGGTATTTCGTTAATAGCTTGTTTGCTTCCTTGCAAAATCCTGTAGTGGCTAGGGAGCGGCGCTAGCACAGAGCGAGCGAGGTCCTACTCTGCGGCAGTGGGTTTTTCCAAGAGCAGGAAGGCAGGCGTGCGGGGTTGTGGTGCTAGTGCCGGTGTTTTCTTTAACATCTGTAGTGACTCTCAGTATATAGTGTTTGAGATCTTTAGTCAGCTCTTAATCTGTATTCAAAGGCAAAAAAAAAAAAAAAAAAAAAAAGTGAAGTCAGTCCGTGTCGGCCACAAGTAAAGTACAATTTGAATTACTCAAATCAAATAAATACAAGATCCTTTTTCATTCATTCCATGCCGGGGCAATAGTCCTGGAACACTTACACTACTGAAAAATGGTGGTGTTTTTTTGTGGGTGGAAAGTAAACAGAGATCTTGTCCAGATGTGGCTCAAGACAGAAGCGAGAGGATTGCCCATTTCTAAATCACGCCATTATGTCCTCAAGGTTATGTTGCATTCTGGAATTATTCTGCGCAAAATGGCGATCTGTTCAACCTCCCTCCCGGACAAGGATGGCTTTACGGAGAAGGCTTTGCCTTGTTCTGTGTGTGACGAGAACGATTCCAACCCGTGACGTGGGAGAAGCCTTTCCATGGCGTTGTTGCTGCCTCCTGGATGTCGCTCCCCTCCCGGCGGATGGGAAGGGACTGGTTTCGTCGGAGCGTAACTGGAGCACCAGGAGAGCAAGGCAAGTCCGTTCCTTGAAGAGACATCTGTGTCCTCTGTTGCATCTCTGAAGGAGGAATACGCAGATTGCTGGATGCCGAGATAGCTATCTGATTTAAATGAGATTCTATACTTGTAAAAAAAAAATCAATAAAGATTAAACAAGAACATGTGTTGGTTTCCTATTCAGAACTGCGCTAATGTATCTCAAGTACCAGCGAGAACATGCTGTAATCCTGAGCAGTGGCTTGAAACAAATCTGGACCTCAGTCTTGAGAAAAATACTGTGATCTGTTCCTGTCGCTTGGCTCACCAGCTTACAATCCATCCAGGTGTCCTGCAATTCCTGGTCCTCATCACAAAAGCCAGGCAATTAATTTAGCTATTTTGAATTTTTTATCTTCCGAAGGTGTAGCTGAACAACCGTGGTTTTAAGGAACACTACCTACAGTTAGAGGTTTTCTCCAGGCTGACCCACGCTGCGTGAGGGCTGCAGCGCTACCAGGGGTCTGGTTTCCCCAGACTAAAAGCCACAAGGGCTGAAATCCTGTTATTGCTGATATAAAACTGCACAAATGGCCTCAGCCTCAGTAGGATGAGGAGTAAAACCAGACTTGGTTGGAATAGAAGTCCAGATCAGAGTGAATTTGATACGGAGGCTTTGATCGGCTCCCACCCAGAAGTCAGTTTGAAATTTACTGCAGAGGTGTGAGTTTGTCCAGAGTGGGCAAATGCCACTTGAAGTTTCTCACCAGGGGAAGGGAACGGTGCTCAGTAGTTTCTAGGCTCCAGTCAGAGGTCCAGCAAGGTCAGTGAGGACTGTGTGAGAAGTTCACAGACTTTAGGTGGGGCCCAGGGTCACTCAGTGGGGAGGTTTGGTGGGACACGGGCAGGAGAGCACGCTCTGAACCCCTACACACAATGGAGTCACGGGGGTGGCCATGGGTTCAAACTGCATCGATGCCAAAGCTGCGCATGAGGCACCGCTGTGAGAAGAGTCACTGCAAACCCCTCAACATCGCAAGGGCATCCAGTGCCCCAAAGAGGTTTCCTGTATGCGCACAGATACGGCCCGTTCCCCCTGCACACCCTTCTCGCAGCCGGTACCCAGGATGTGCTCAGACAAAACTGCGTGTAAAACAACCCAAATACTTCAACACGATTTTTCCCAACACCACGAACAGATGGATCTCGGTGTCCTCCAGTGTCAGGAGAACAGAGCGCAGCCCCGCGCTGGCAGAGGGAGGGAGGTCTCCTCCTGCTTTTGCAGATGAGCAAGAATGAAGTTTTGGCCCACTGAAATAAAAGTGAGTTTTGCCATCAGCTGCACGCAGTTCAGGTTTCACGGTTGTGTCCCGGTTTCAGTGACAAACAGACACAGGAGACTGACTGTCCGTTGAAAAAAAATACGCTCTACTCATCTCTCTATTTTTATCATGAGTTAAACTGCAGCCGGGGAGATGGTAGTAAGAAAAGGAACCAGAGATTAAAAATCAAGACTCATCATTAGTCTGGAGACATTCTGAAAGCATGACATTTCAAAGGGAAAAAAATACTAAAACCTGAAATCTGCCTGCAAAATTAAACTTTACCTAAAAAATGGACTATGTATAATTCAACAGTATTTTCTATATAAAATCTGGAAGGTAAAAATTCTCCAGTTTGAATTATTATATAGACTTTACACACACGCTGCCCTAGTCCCTGGAGGAGGGGAAGATGCTAGTTTTGAGTAAAGAAAGCATCAAGACTGACTCTTAAACAAAAGGGGAGGTTAGACCAATAAAAAAATATAATTGCCTAATAAAGCACATGATGAAATAAAGAATTCACCTGAAATACCCATTAGAGATTACATTATGGAGAAGCGCAACAATATTAATGCTTGTAGGTATTTCTTGGCAAAAGATCCTCTTGTGTGCATTCTACACGAAGGTATTTTACATGAGTGTCTGTTCCCCCCTCCCAAAATCCAGTTTTGCATGCATCCTCAAATCTATAGAAACTGAAGAAGAGAAAGAGCCACAGTTTAACTCCCAATGGCTGTGGGCACTCAGCTGGATCTGGGGGAACATCATTCTTCCTGCTCCCCAGAGGCTTTTCCAAATGGACATTATCTTAAGCGCTTGCAGAATTTTATATGTTAATCGGGGAGACATCTTTCAAACACTCGCCACAAAGGTTTTACTTCCACAGTTTCATTGCGTTTAACATGCTTTTGGCCAACCTTTCAAGGCTCCTCCCGACTCACGGGCAGATTTCACCCTGCCCGTGGATTTCTGCGGAGGAGCGCCCGGGCAGTGCCCGCGGAGCTCTACCGGAGATGACAACCTTTGGGTCCCAGCACGCAGCAAAGGCAACAGTTTTTTCTGGCTGCACCCTGGAAGAAGGCACTTCGCGGGTTGGTCAGATATGAAATGAGCTCTTTATTGAAAGCAAGGTTTGAATCTCAACAAAGGATTTATAAATCATTGCAAGAATTAAGGGAGTAAACAATGTACTAAAGTCAATTAATAACACTTATTCTCATTGGATTTAAAATATCAGCAGTGACTCCAGCAATAGCACGAACCGAAACAGCTCCAACTACTAATCACAAAACCACTTCCAGAGGACAAAAAATGGTCACCCAGAGGGAAGAATAAAGAATCACAATATAAAGAGAAGTTTTCTGACCACTTTTCTTCATAAAATTATGACATTTATATTTCAGTATTGAGACTGGAATTAAATAGAGGTCCAGAGAGAAAAAAAAAAGAAAATCTTTCAGAAAAAGTAGTTTGTACAATAGCAGCTTTTATTGAAAAGGCCGGTTTTGCTTCAAGTTTAATTAATCTGACACGTAGCTAAGTAGAAATTGGAGCATTCCTTGGGTTTTCATGAGCTTCTGCCCAGCCTTGGGTTGAACTTCACCATCACTTCGTATATACCGCACAAATCTCAAGGAAGGCGCTGCTCAAAACAAACCCAGGTGAAGAGAAGCTGCGGCCAGAGAGGGAAAGTCAGCGGAACGGGCAAGTGCAGAACGTAACAAATCCTATGCCACGAATAACCTCCAAGGGGCTCCAGCCAATACGGGGGTCAGCAAGCCCGGGGAGACCCTCAAACCAAATCCCGGCAGTGGATGGGCAGGGAACAGGCTGGAGCCGTCCGATCGCGCCCCAGCACTGCTGCCACCACGGAACAACTGCACCACAAGAAGACAGTGCGGAAACATCACGGAATACAACCGGGTAAAGCAATATATACATTAAATAACCAAGCAAATAATCTCTTCAAATTCCAAATATACACAAACATATAGAAAAATCACTTTCTGTAGGTGATCCCAAGGCAGCTCCAGAGAACGCATACATTAAACAAAAAAAGAAAACTACATTTCTCACTTCTTTCCTAGCAAAAGATACATGCAGAAAAAGGAGTTACATTTATGAAATTCAACACATCCAAAGCGAAAGGCAGCGTGTCCATTAGCCTGTACGGAACGGAAGCAGGGGAACGTGGTCTGTTACAATGCACTGTAGAAAATACTGTAACCTTGGATACAGATTGCAGGGACACCGGGCTTTGGCTGGCGATGTAATATCGGAGAAGATGCTGAATGCAACAGTGAGTCATTTTAATGAGCAGGATATGTAAGCGAGATGATCCTCATTGTGCAATGCCTTTATCCAGGGTATCTACATGCAAAACATTCGGTGTATTCCCATGACGTAAAGGTGTTCAGTTCAGAAGAACGCTTTCTGCTTGCCACAAACACAGCGATATTGCCTGCTGCTTTCCCTTCTGGAGGGAGCGAGCAAGCAGTGGTGTCATACTTCAGTGAGCTCTGCTGCAATTATAATTGTAAATGTCGATTTATGGGCCAAAAGACACACGGGATACATCTTAGAGAGGGACCCTACTTCCTTAACAAGTACATTAACAAGTACAAGAAAAACATCCCTGAAAAATGCTTTTATGACAATATAGCCGGTACTGTATTTTGACATACTGGTTGCTTTAAGTTTCACATTGTGGCCTCTTTTATTTGTGGCGTTCTCTTTTAATTAGAAAAAAAAAAAATCCTATCTAGCTAAGTGTTGAGGAACTGCGGTGGAAACCCACGCTAACAATAAACTCCCTTTTCCTAATATAGCATTTCATAAGCAACATTTGCGTCAGCCAGATACTCCAAACCACTTGAGAAGTCCCCTCGCTTGCAGCAAGACGAAGCATTTGCTTGAAGTCAGACAATGCTTAAGTGCTTCCGTAATGCGGTATGCAAAAGCGAGCGCTGGC